GGTTACTTAGACACAATTAATGCTGATTGCAAAAGCATTCTTTATAACCGTCCATCAGATTAATAATGAATGCACTGATTGATGGTAGCCAACGGTGCATAAAACACAAGCAAAAAAAAAATGTCGTGACAAGCCATCTTTAAGCTGTCAATAACCAAGATTAGTAGATAGAAAAAAACAATCAATTTTGTTCAAATGTTCTCTCATCATCATCATCATCGCCTTTATTAACAATAGTTCAACAATTAAACATATTGTACCCCAGTCTAATAGAACTATAAACCAGTCTATTCAATATGAATTTTTTAATTATTTAATACAATTTTTTTTTGTTTTCAATTGTGATTAAATTGTTTCTGTGTTCATGTTTTAGAGAGAAAAAACAACCACATCCGAGTGATGTTAAACCGGTAGTATTGTCTTTTACCCTCATGATCAATATTACCTTTGTCTGATTTTTGTTGATGATTTTATATGAGGCGTAAAATTATATTATTTGTTTTCATCAATAATCACACACGTGTTTTAAAAACATGTATCATATTTCTAAATAAGCAAAGATGATATTAAACTAATATTTTTATTGTATTCCAATCTGATTAAAATACAGATCTATATTTCGTTTCGTTTCTTTTTATACTTTCGATGGCATCTACTACATGAAGATCTGACCGGTTGTAGTAAAAGGTCGCGTTAGACATTTGATTAACCAATCAGCGTTGATGTTTCTAATGGGTTACCTACAGTTCCACGCACCTCACGCAAAAAGCTCGTCGTAACAGACCGTTGTAGCACTATAGGACTTCTTTTATTGTTGTGTTTGTTTCTTCGTGATCGTAACAAAACTACAGCATCAATAGTGTTACAACTTTATTGCTAAGCTGTAATGGCTTTGCAGGTCCCTCGTTCTCAATAATAATGGCTGTTATGCATTTCTGAATGAGCTCTGATCCAACTCGCTTTACCCCCTAATTTATACCCTAATTTATACCACCTAATTTATACCACCTAATTTATACACCCTAATTTATACCACCTAATTTATACCCCCTAATTTATACCACCTAATTTATACCCCCTAATTTATACCACCTAATTTATACACCCTAATTTATACCACCTAATTTATACACCCTAATTTATACACCCTAATTTCTGCAGCAGGTCTTCGATAACCTTGACGTTAATTTCCATCCCATATATGGAATAAACCTCTTTATTTCACACGACTTAGAGAGGAGGCATTACCTTATTTGGTCTACCAACCATAGGTCAGTTTTGACAATGGTTATTATTTAACCAAAATATCACTGTTTTTTATGTATAACTATATATTCACGTTCATTAAGTACGTGTGATTTGACTTTATAGACCGAGTGAAGCAGCAAAGAACCATTACACCGTTTCATTGGCTAATCCCATATCCAGAACGCGGGTTATATAACAACTCTTCCGGATCCTAGTGTAGTAAATACAAGTAAAACGAAATATTGTCTCCAGAACTATAAAAAACGAAACGAAATAGGATCTGCGTTTAATCAGATTGTAATCTTTGTAGTTTTTCCATTCATTTAAAGTCATCATCACTGAGTTTCTTTGTTGATTTCAATATCTAAAGGGGTGGGGGGGTGAATGGCCGAATGTTTAGCACGTGCGTGTTGTATCATGAGGTCTGTCATTGAGTCAACTGGCGTGGCTTCGAATCCCGGGTTGTGCGTGACAAGGAGTAGGGTCGCCTGTCTAACCTCGTGGGTTTTCTCCGGGTCTTCTGGTTTCCCCCCACTGCTAAAGACCCCTACGCGCAAGCGAATTATAGAAATAAAATTGAACCATGTGTTAGTTCCGAAATGACCTAGTTTGTGTCGAGTGGACGTTAAACCCCATTTCTCTCTATCTCCCAATAGCTAAACATACGATACAAATAAAGAACATGCATTAACCACAAACGTATAATGACTTGCTCTTGGAGAACTTTTCAAGACTTTCAGTGTATTTTTTTTTTTTTTTTCGCTTCAATTATTCTATTTCATCTTCTTTTCCTTTAACGTTGTATAAAACCGCGCGCGTCACGCTTTGGAAAGATACTTTGGTCGAAATGTAAATAACACTCAAACTTCATAACTCCTCGAAAAATAGAGAAAGATAAGTGGGAATATGTAGATATATATTGACAGATTTATATTAACGGATTTTCCTCTGCTTTATTTATAAGACGTCTGCGTGTGAAACTATGGCGTCAATCATTATAAGATATTTAAATCGTGTTATATATTTTCCTCTACTTGTCTGTAGTTGTCGTGTGCACCATCATCTGTTAATCCTAGCTGTCACACAAGTTTAACACAATATTATACACAATCTAAACACTGTCTAGTAATCATTCTACTTTAATTTGTGCCAAATCAGCTTTTTAATATACCGAGAACGTCTAAAGGTTCTATCAAACATTACTTGTTATGAAATCGCTATTGTGCCGCGTGAATAAATATCTTTAACGTTCTAGATTTTTCAGGGAGCCACGGTGGCTAAGTGAGTAAGACGCTGGCTCGCTAACCTGGAGGTCGCGTGTTCGATCCCTGCATAGGCCGAGAAAGTTCACCGGGATTTTCCGACGTGGTTTCCTCTTGTCAGTGGTGCAGGACGGAGGGACTGACAAGGACAGTTATCTAGTCGTTCGGATGGGACAAAAAATTGAGGCCCCGTGTTTACATTGGCGTGCACGTAAAAGAGTAGGCCATAATGCCGCTGCCCTGGCAAAATTTCATTAGCCCAGTACAGGAACAGAACAGTAGGACGTTAAAACCCATTTCATTTCAATTCTAGATTTTCCGTGTGTGTTTGTGGTGTATTTTAATTTTACTATATACCATGCTGGCGGTTCAGCCGCGTGAACAAGCAACTTTTGAATTTTATTTGAATGTCTTATTTTAAATTGTTGATGTCCGTAGTATACATTGTTATTGTGTGTTATTGATAATGTAATAGCACCAATGGACAGCACATCGGACTGGATTTCAGACACTTCTAACATTCTGTTCGTTTTAGAATGAGTTGTAGATCAGGCCGGAAATGTTATCTAAATTATTAATTAGACATTAATTAACTTATCCAGACCATAATCAACTCTTGATATTTATTGGATTAGGATCCGAATTGCTGCTCAACGTTCATTCCACACTGATCAGCAGTGAATTTTCGCTAGGCCGCTACGAGGGGTGATTGATAAGTAATGAGCCTCGATTGGAAAACCGTGCAACACAAAGATACCACGTTTTGCACGTGCACTATTATGTTCCTCGGGCTCTGTCACAAACTTTCATCATATTCGGTTAAACTATTTGGTTGTGACAGGTCATAACAATCAAGTAGGGTCTGTTGTTATCAGAAAATGAACCATATCGAGGCGAGAGCTGTGATTAAGTATCTGCATAAAAAAGGGTCTAACACCGAAAGCCATACATGATGATATGGTTGAGACATAAGGAGATGATGCTCCTTCGTATGCCTCATTTAAAAGGTGGTCAGTTGAATTCAAGCGTGGCCGAGACAGCACTGAAGACGAACCACGCCGTGGTCGACCAAAAAATCCATGATCTGATAATGAATGACCGGCGAGTTACTGAACTATACATAGCTGGGGTAGTTGGTATTAGCCAGGGGAGAGTTCATTCTATTATCACTGAAACTTTGGAAATGACAAAGGTTTCAGCAAGATGGGTGCCAAAGCTTTTGACGCCTGATCAAAAGCGTTCAAGACACATCATGTCAGAAGAGAGAATGTAGCCTTATTTGAAACCGATCCTGACCGCTTCTTAAAACAAATTGTTACTATGGATGAACCTTGGGTCCACCACTTTCAGCCAGAAACAAAAGAACAGTCAAAACAGTGGAAACATGTGATGTCGCCGACCCCAAAGAAGGCAAAGACTGTTTCATCGGCAGGAAAGGTGATGGCCTCAGTATTCTGGGATTACCTCCAAAAGGGTCCAACAATTAACGGTAGATACTATGCAGCACTTATAAGGCAGTTGAGGCAAGAAATTAAGACAAAAAGACGAGGAAAGCTGACCAAAGGTGTGATTTTCCACCAGAACAATGCGCCAGTGCACAAATCAGCTGTTGCAATGTCAGCAATCCATGACTGTGGTTTTCAACTTCTTCAGCATCCACCCTACTCTCCTGATTTAGCTCCCTCAGACTTCTATCTGTTTCCTGCTCTGAAGAAATGTCTTTCCGGTAGGCATTTCCCGTCTGACGATGACGTCATTGCCGCTGTGGATGATTTTCTACACACCCAAGACAAAGACTTCTACAGAACTGGAATAAAGGCTCTGCAACACCGATGAAAGAAGTGTATTACATTGAAGGGGGACTAAGATGAAAAATAAATCCATTTGATTTGAATATCTTGTTTCTTTCTGTGTTAGATTCACTACTTATCAATCACCCCTCGTACAATCACTGATAAGGATGACATCGATGCGACTTAATGAGTCCCAAATATTAACTTTTTTCTTCGGTCAAACTAAATTCTAAAAAAATTTTTTCATTTATTAGAAAAATAAATAAAGTCGTTTGAATTATTTGCAGGTAAAAATCATTTCCTATTTAGTGTAAATGGGTATTAAAATAAGTAAAATTCACCATTTAGCCCGAATCAGTAACGTCGTATGTAAACAATGCACGCGCTATTGAGCCAATGATTGACGCCGCGTGATGTGACGTCACGTGTCGAAACAGTCATCTGTTAGAGATATTAGAAGATCTCTGTGAAGCAGATTGCTTTCATTCATGATTAAATCATGAACTGGATAATCGAGACTATGTTTTTTTTTATCGTATCGACTTTAGTAATGATGATTTTCAGCAAATTGCCTTTACATTATCTAGTTTTTAACTATTATAGTGAGAACTGTCAGTTCTTTATCTAATCTCCCATAATGTATCTTTAAACGTTAATGCAGAGATTTAAGACAAGGTTATGTTTTTCTTCATTCCAGGTCCAGAGTATTGGGGTTTGCTGTATCCCGACTGGCTGCTATGTAGTAAAGGAAGGAACCAATCACCAGTAAACGTTGATCCCAAAACCCTGTTATTTGACCCCAGTCTAGATCACATAATGTTTAAAGGGAATGAGGTATGTTTATTTCCGGTAGAGATGTTCTAATGTAATTGTTCGGCAATGGAAAACAGACAATCAACCATTATACGCCCTTTTGTCAGAATTTGTAATGGGTCATTTATACGATGCAGGCTATTAACAACACCTATTTATTTTTGAATATACCGTAAATGAAAAAAAAAATTTAAAAAAAGTTTATGTGTAACACTATCTTAGTGATAACAGAGATCAAATTAGTAAATATAGGATTTATTTACAACGGGAACAGAATATCAAACAGTTACATAGATACAACATGAACTAAACTACATCGGGAACTAGACTACGACAGGAACACATATAACAATATTAAATCCACCATTCCGCCCCTCTGCCAAGACAGCGGCTGAACTCTGGTGAGTCTATACGCCGGTCTCTCCGTCTCCGCTCGTCTCTCTAGGCGTCTGCCCAAGTGTCAGTAAACTCCTGATTATATTGCACCGGAGAATAGATAAGACCCATGATCATACAGGAAATTGTCTCTTTATCGCGTCATGGTATGCTTACTGACCAGTGCATATTCCCTTGAAGTCACGTGGAGCTTGTACACAGATCATATGTAGTTTGTAAATGATATATGGGATTAATTACATGTTTAATAAGATCATAGCCAGTCCCTGCTTAAACAGAAGTTTATTCAGAGTTGTAAGGTCAATATCACATATTATCAAAAACCAGCTGAGTTCATAAAGTTCTAAACACCTAAATGGTCGTTTAATTTGATGAAAGTTATAGAGTACTTTGTTACATGTGATCAAAAAGGTATAAATCGTCCCGGCAGTACAAACATTTTTAATATTCTTTGAGTGGAATAGGGTTTAAGTGCAGATAATATGCTGTAGCCTAGATTGTTTTGATTTGAGTAAAAGTTAAATGTGTCGATTTCATTAGATTGTATATGTTGATTTGTTTAGTGGGGTGAAACCATCTGTTGGAATCCAACCGATTTTGTGTTCTACTGTCGACACGGTAAGCCAAAAATGTAACTAAAATTTTTGAACAAAAATTGAATTCGTCCTTTCCCTCTCTCAACCAAACACCAGAAACACAAATCCAGAGAGTTCCAAGTAAAATGTTTGCAATAACTCGATTTACGGCTTGAAACTCTCTGGATTTGTGTTCCTAGTGTTGTAAGTTTTCGAAAAATGTATAGTTTGTTTTTTGTAGGGAGGACCTTGTAGCGGAATTGTGTTTCTAAGGAAGCTAGAAATTTTGGCTACAGGCCTATTATAAATGCTGTACAGTCTTGGCGACTTTTTTATATTCAGTTGGCAGGCGTGAATAAAGCCTTTTGTTTAATGATGAGTCGGAAGTGTTCCCACTTCTGGCGCCAGTTAGATATGAATCTAACGAGTGTTTCATGTTAAAATAACAGAACGCATATGTCTCATTTAGGCGTATTCCTGAGGTTCCTGTAAATGTATTCTTGAGTACAGTAGCAACACATAATTATGTTAGCCAGTGTCTCTGTGCGAATAAAAACCACAGACTAGAAATATGTCGCAATAAACAAGAACATTGGGTAATAATTACACTACACAATAAACCTGGCGCCACACAATAAACAACATCATTTGATGACGTTTTAAAGCGATAATTTCATATTTTCTAAGAAAGTCAAAACAGAATTATTTCTATGTCTTTTGCTCAATAGGTTGTCAACTCACTATTATACGATCATAGGTATTATTCTCCCACTTAAAAAGGGGGGTTGGATGGCGGAATAGTTAGCACGCGCACGCTGTATCACACGGTCTGTCATTGAGTCAACTGGCGGGGTTTCGATTCCCCGGTTGTACGTGACAAGGAGTAGGTCGCCTGTCCAACCTCGTGGGTTTTCTCCGGGTCCTCCGGTTTTCTCCCACTGCTAAAGACCCCTACGCGCAAGCGAATTATTGAAATAAAATTGAACCATGTGTTAGTCCCGAAATGACCTAGTTTGTGTCGAGAGGGCGTTAAACCCCATTTCTCTCTCTCTCTCTCCCACTTAAAAATCCTTTGACCCCGGAAATAATAACACAATTACCTCCCTTGTTTTTCAATTCCCTCCCCCCAAAGGCATAACTGTCTTCAAACGTTTGAATTTGAAGTTGAAAATTATATTTTTGCCAATATCTCAACTGGCAATAGGTAGGACTGTTTATTTTAAGGCTTTATTTTAATAAATTTTAAAAATATAACTTAAAAATATGAAATTGCAATTTTAAACATAATTACAGTCACCTATTGTTTCATTGAATCTATAGGGTGGGAGCCACGGTGGCTAAGTGGGTAGAATGCTGGCTCGCTAGCCTGGAGGTCGCGTGTTTAACCCCTGCATTGGCTGAGAAAGTTCATTGGGATTTTTCAACATGGTTTCCCATTATCAGTTGTGCAGCTGTCTAGCCATTCGGATGAGACGAAAAACCGTGTATACATTGGCGTGCGGCTAAAAGATCCCTTGGCAGTTGGAAGTCGATATAAGAATAAGCCATAGTGCCGCTGCCCTTGCAAAATTTCTCTCATAGCACACTGTATGCCTTATGCCCGTCTTCATTATCCCAGTCGGAGCAGAGCAGTAGGTCGTTAAACCCCATTTCATTTCATTTCATGTCTGAAAACAACAATAACACGGGTAACATCGTAATAACCGTAACAAAGGCGAGGCAAAATTAAGTGAGGGGTGGGGGTACCTTTTAGTCGGGTTTGCCCCTCCCACCTTCCTCAATTAAAAAATTCACATGACGTTTTGAAAATAAAAGTAACAAAAATAACGAAAATAGACCACAATTTATGGTAAGCCTCTATAACTGACAAAGACAAGTCACCATTATGATAGGCCTCTATAACTTACAAAGACAAGTCACCATGTAAGCCTCTATAACTTACAGAGACAAGTCACCCTTTTGGTTAGGTTTGGATGGTCAAGGAGGCAGATTCTAAAATATAAATATACTCCCCTCAGCTTGGAACACAGTCGGGGGCGTGGTGACCCATGATTTTGCATGAGTAATAAGATCCCGTTCGGCCAACAAAAAATAATATTTATATGTGTGTGTGCGTGGAAGGAGGAGGGTCGCTCCCAGAGCCGCCGAGTACTTTTGGGCATGCTAGAGTCGATTTGTAGCATATCTGACCCACGGTATAATGTTTAATATTGGTTAAGCATTATGATTATAATGTCAAAAACCGCAATGAAATCGCGATATTTTTGCCATTTACAAGGGGACGCAAAAACTCAAAACCATGACGCAAAGTGCGTCATTACGTCCCTTTCACTTAGCCCCTGAACACAGCAAATGTCCCTTTCAGGATTATCATGCCCCCCCCCCCCCACCATCCCGTCGGTATAACTTATAAGCATTCATAGATCCGTGCTTTGGGCTGATATATTATTTTATTATCTACATATGAATTCATTTTATTAATCGATTAAACGTGCGTGATAGGTTAATAGTGCAATAAGTGCGTTTATGTGGTTCTTTAGGAATGCCAAAATCCCATGTGACCCGATATGCATCATAATAACATTCAAGTATTCACAAATAGTCCCAGTCAGTTAGTACATATAGATATATAAATCATAGGCTGTGATTCATGCCATATACAATAATATTGGTTCCCAATTTATTCTTATAAGTCGAAATGAAGTCGTTGTTGAATATGTCCTTCCATCGTTTTTTGTTTTGTTTTTTTTTTGTTCGATCTTCTTTCACACATTGCTCAGAAACGGGCGAGATGGGGCGTGAACATAGATACGAGGCCAACTAAAAACTAAAAAAAAACCGACACCAAGCAACAAGATGAGTAGCGTTTGCATTGAGGACCAGTTCCTACCCCAAAGATAAATACAAATAAAATGAAATGAAATGGGGTTTAAGGTCCTACTATTTTTCTCCGACTGGGCTAATGAAGACGGACATACGCCATACGGTGTGTTATTAAGGTAATTTGGCCCGGGCAGCGCACTATGGCCTACTCTTATATCAAATTCCAACTGCCAAGGGATCTTTTACGTGCACGCCACGAGACCTCGGTTTTTCGTATCATCCGAATGACTAGACAACTGTCCTTGTCAGGCCCTCCGTCCTGCACCACTAACAAGGGGAACCCACGTCGGAAAATCCCAATGAACTTTCTCTGCCAATGCCAAAGATAAATACATGTACATGTAAAATGCTAGAATCTTACTTTTCCTACAAATGTTGATACAGTAAAACGACGCTATATATACAGCCTTCTTCAATTCAACTTATTTCAATGAATACTGATTGACGGATTGTGTGAACTGGAAGCAGAACTCTGCACGGGACAATGATGTCGTGTGTCATTGAAGTTCCACATTCTTTTGTAATAAAAGACTATTGTCGACATGTGTACACATGTTTTACTCTGTGGCTATTGATTCTACCAGACAAAAATCTCCATGCAGGTGCCAACGTAATCCCATATATCATTATTCATTAAATCATAGACTAGAAGTGGAGCTGCTAACGTAATCTATATCACAATAGGTGTCTCATTAATTCATCGTCAGCTTCATACAAAATAGTAATAACAATTAGATTTCATTGTAATTGTTATCTAACAAGAGAAAAAGAGAACAATATTTCATTGTAATTGTTATCATTTAGTATAAACAAGAACAAGATTTTATTATAAATGTTATCATTTTGCAACTGAGGAACAATAAAAGAAGCGTGCGTTAATCCATATACATGTAATACACAAACAAAGACAGGAGTATAACAAAAATGGGGTATGGTTAACGCGTGCGCGTTGTATCATAAGGTCTGTCATTGAGTCAACTGGCGTGTTTTCGATTCCCCGGTTGTACGTGACAAGGAGTAGGTATGCCTGTTTAACCTCATGGGTTTTCTCCGGGTCCTCGCTTTCTTCCCACTGCTAAAGACCCCCTACGCGCAAGCGAATTATTGAAATAAAGTTGAACCATGTGTTAGTCCGGAAATGCCCTAGTTTGTGTCGAGTGGACGTAAAACTCTCCCTCTCTCCCTAAAATTACAATATAAATGGAGTTTAACATCCACTCGCTCACCCAACCCCATATTAGACTATAAATGGAGTTTAACATCCACTCGCTCACTCAACCCCATATTAGATTATAAATGGAGTTTAACATCCACTGGCTCACCCAACCCCATATTAGACTATAAATGGAGTTTAACAACCACTCGTGGAATATAGTTCCCTGGCGCGTCCATGTCGTTTACAGTAGAAGGAAACCGCAGATCCCGATGAACACCCTATACTTTATAGATGACTGTAGTCCTAAGATGATTGGCGCTCCTAACTTCACTACTAATTGCGACTACGGTTAACACACGACTACTTAAAGAGGGTCACGTGGATAATTTTAAAACGTCATCGTGGTGAGTATTGCCACTGGTTGACGGAATCTAGAGTGGTGAACTTTGATCCCAATTGTTTTTATTCCAACCTGTTTCTCACTTTGGTATTATTATATCTACTGAAAGAGAATCGGTTTCAGATGAGTTACTTGCCCCTGAGTTCGAAATCGGAATCAGACCAGTTATTTAATAATCTCGCTGACGAACATGAACGTAACAGACTTTAGACATATACTTAGTCATACTTTGATGCTAGTTTTTAAACATTTTCCACGTTACAGGCACCCGTGACTACTGCTAGATCCAATGTATACCGTGCTATTTGTCCATTACCAAAATAATTCTGTATCTTTTGATATAAAAGGGACTGTGCGTATTTTATCTATTGCAATTAACGTTCAGAAAAATCATCTGGCGATTTGATAATGAACGTACGTTTAGAGAAATTTCTCAGGCGCTTTCAAAAAGGATTTTATAATTTTGTAACCCCCCCCCCCCCCTATTTCTCGTTTATATAGAATACGGGGAATGTGGTCGTATATTGTCGTCGAGCCCGTCCTTCCTTCGGTACGTATTCCACAAATGCCTTTGATCACTTTGAAACTCCTGTGGATGCTCTAGAGGATAAAGTCAATATCCGAAAAACTTTGAATGTATATGCAGTGTTTAAAGTCGTGAGACGAAAATTCCTATTGATTTTCAACGATTTCCGATAATTACTTCCAGAGTTATGGACCTTGATACTAACCGTTAGTATAGGGCAGAACTAGAAGTCAAACAAATTGTAATGATTTCTGATAATTACTTAATGGGTTGTTACTGGTAATCAGATTTTAGTGTGTCGGAAATGTTTTTTATTACGGACAAAAGAACCCTTGTTGTCTCCCCGGACGACTTAGCTCCTGTGGGTGTATGTTTCGTTGACTGGCCATCTATCTTTATCTGATGATCCCTTCTCGGAAAGAACGTCTCCCTCTTTGCTTGTTTCATTGGCGTTTGTAGCTCGCTATAGGAAGCTTTCGTAGCAGATTTTTTTTTCTGAACTAAAGGTCTTCAAAAAAAAGGATCTAATCGAATCCGTTAACATGTCATGTAAAGTCGTAATTTCAGTGTATTGTAAAAGACTGGAAGTTGAAGCGTACATTGTATTACATTTGAAAGGATTGCAATGGCTGACCTTCCAGTCGTAACGCTGCGTCAATATGCCAATTTTCTACACCGATAATCACCTCTCTAAGCCACTGAATAGACGAGGGACTAATGGTTTAAACAGTTGAGCGAAATGATTTGATAACACGCTGACATTATCACGTTAGTGAAAAAACCTCCAATTCTCTTTTCTCAAGTTGTGTTACAGTACAAACACTGAATGATACGAAACTAAGGCGAAAATTGATGCATTGGCTGTCCTGCGGTCGTCTGCCATTTATCAGTGCTTTAAGTACCATTAACTTCATTCCAATAAAATGAATGCAATAACAGTGATGGGTGGTTTTTGGTAAACTGCTTTTATTATTGTGTGGTACAAGTTGAACATCGTCAATTTAACAAATATCTTTAAAGCCATCCAATAAACATGGTAAATGATGTTGAATATTCATGGTGATTTAACCAATTAAGTTTATGAATCTTTTCATTGATCCAGATTATTCAAATCTTTTTTTTTTGTTTGCAGTTTACGGGCTATCTTGTCAACAATGGCCATGATATTACCTTCGACATAGAAGAATTACGATGGAAAGGGGTGAATATAACAGGAGGCCCTGTCTCTTATAATTACAGAATTAAAGAAATACGACTTCATTTTGGAACCGATGATAGTTATGGTTCCGAGCATTCCATAAATGGTAAATCATTTCCTGCAGAGGTGAGCCTTATCATCTAGTACACCAGACTCATAGCTTGTCCTTTCATTATTTTCGTTTAGTTTAGTTTGTTCGTCCATCCTTATCGTCTGAGTTTGTTCTTTAGATCTGTACCTGTAGACAATTGATAAACACACATAAACGATAAGCCTTCGGGTCATCTGATATATCCAGCTCTTTTTTTTCGGCGAGTCGGGTGCCCGCGCCTAAAGGGGTTAATTCAGTTCTTTTTTTACCACAATTTGTTTGGTCGTTTTGATGTTTTCAAAACTAGAAATGTAGGCATAAAAATTGGACTATTTAATGTTTTACCGACATCAAAATGAACAGAACAAAATGTGCGTCTTGTTTTAATTAGATTGTCGCGACATGTCCTTTTTTGTGTTTATACATGTTGGGTGTCAATTGCATAGTTTACAGTTAACAAGTTTGTCAGTATGAATCTAAGATCATGACACGTTTCAAAAGTACACCATTTTGAATATTACTTAATAAGAATAAACATCTGTAAATATTGAATAATCTAGCTTGCTTTGTTAAACGGTGAGTTTGGCGCAATATATCCCGGTTGGTGCTGACGTGCCATAAAATAACATTTCGTTTCATTTAAACGGCGAGTTTCTATAACCGCCATTAGCAGCCATTGGATTCAGTATTCGTGAAAGATGACCCCCATAACATCGTCTCGTCGAAGTCTTTATAAAAGTTCAAGTCTATTAACTGGTATTATATTGTTTTATTTCTTTAAACTATTCTTTAATTTTAAACTCATTAAGGTTATTCTTACAGCTAGACATCTTTCAATTAGTGTAAATTTCTTTATCTTTACAAACTTTTATAGGAAACAAAGGCACTAGACAAAGGGTTTGGTCAACAGAATTGATGTCTAGCTTTTGGTCCGCATAAATCTTATAAAGGGTTTATTTTAAATTCAGATTAAAATTGTCTGAATAGTTATTATCCAGAAGTTAAGACAATGTGGAAAAATTGGCTGACGTATCCATTAGTTGTTTTCCCTGGAGGAAAATTAAATAAAAGGGGGTTTAACGTCCTACTCGTCTGCTCCATCTGGACTAATGAAGGCGGACATAGGCCATACCGTGTGCTATGGGGGGGGGGGAATTTTGCCCGGGAAGCGGCATGCCAATGTGTAGACAGGACCTCGGTTTTTCGTCCCATCCGTGCCAGACAATCAATCCCGTTTTTTCCCTGAAGGAAAGTAAGCATATATATTAAGAAGTTTCAGTGGGTTTCTGTTCCAGTGCATTGTAATTGTTTTTTATTTTGGTTAGCGCGTTCGCCTTGAATCATAAGGTCTGTCATTGAATCAACTGGCGTGGTTTCGATTCCCCGTTTGTACGTGGCAAGGAGTAGGGTCGCCTTGTCCAACCTGTAGCACTTTGGTCTTTAAGACAATATTGGGTCTTTGAAAAGTTGTTGCTTCACTCTTTCTATAGAGTCAAGTCACACGTACTTAATGAACGTGAATTATATATTTATATATAAAAAACAGTGATATTTTGGTAAAATCCTAACCATGGTCAAAATATCCATTAAATTCTGTCTGTTTATTGACCTATGGTTGGTAGACCAAATAAGGTAATGTTTCCCCCCCTGGTCTTGAGAAATGGAGAGGTTTATTCCATATTTGGGATTTAAATTAACGTCAAAGCTAATCTAAGACGTACAGAAATTAGGGGGTTATAAAGGGATGGTGTTGAGCGAGACTGGTCAGAGCTCACCCAGGTATTACATGCAGCTATTATTTATCGAGAACGAGGAACTTTCGAAGTCATTTCAGCTTAACAATAAAATTGTAGGAACCATTTAACCTGTAGTGTTATATATGACGATCAGGAAGAAAACAAACACAACAAGGAAAGAAATTCGATAGTACTACAAACCTCGTGGGTCTTTTCCGGGTCCTCCGGTTCCCTCCCACTGCTAAAGACCCCTACGCGTCTTGTCCTCGGGTTTATCTTAAGGGGCCAACCTCGTGGGTTTTCTCCGGGTCCTCCGGTTTCCTCCCACTGCTAAAGACCCCTATGCGCAAGCGAATTATTGAAATAAAATTAAAAACCATATGTTAGTCCCGAAATGACCTAGTTTGTGTCGAGTGGACGTTAAACCCCATTTCTCTCTCTCTCTTTATTTTAAGGGTTCAGTCTGCGTGTAGTGCGGGTTCTTCTGCACTTACTATATTGATACGGAAGGGATGATTTAGGAGACCAATAATCATGTGTGGGACGGTTTATTGATGAACATCCAGTTTTAATTTCCCATGCACACTGGCATGATGTCATATTCACAGACGACCCGTTTCATCATAGTTTTAAGTCGGGTTAATTTGTCCGTATTAATTTTTAAGGTTAAATCGCTGAGACCGCGTGTATCCCTTGGGATTCTCATATTTATAATATATTGGTTATAACTAATCTCTACTTGAAATAGGTGTCTTAACGTGTACCTTATTGTGAGACAGACGTAGTAACCCACGCGATTTACTTGACAGGTGTCCCTTATGATTTTAAATGTACTTTGCTGAAAGGCGCATTATGGAAGATTAGATTTCGCTATAATAGTTTAAAATTAGATTATGTAAAGGAAATATGCTGAAAATTTCAGTGAAATTACTTTCCTCTGAGCCGCGAAGTTCTCATTTTAATAACACTGTAGCCTCGATTGTCATTGTTACCGTTGTTACGATAATAAACAAAGTCTCGATTATCCATTTTTACGGTTAATCAGCTACGGCCTTTGAACCGCAGATAGGATTCAAATCTTTTAAGAATCGGACACGTCAGATAGCATCGAGAGTTGATTATGGTCTTGTCATGATAATAAATGATTTCAAGCCTAAAGAAAGACCTACAATGGGCCGATTTAGCTCTTGCATAAGTATTCCAATTTTAACCAAATTGATATTTTGTAAATTGTTTTTTAAATTATTATTTAATGATATTTTACATTTTCAGATTCACATAATGGCCTATAACTCGGATTTATATTCTAATATCACTGAAGCAGAGAAATCGCCCAGGGGAATGTTGATACTAGCTATCTTTGCTCAGGTAGGTTAATACACATCAATGTGTTTTGCTGTCATTAGTTTGTTAGTTAACAGGGGACTAATAAAATAGGTTTGTTAGTTCATCTGTCTGTCATTCTTTCTGTCACAGTTGCGGTGATACGGGTGAGCCCCCCCCCCCCCCCCAAAAAAAAAAAAACAAAACAGAACCCATAAAATTTATATTAAATCATACAAATTTCAAGGGATTTGCTGTATTTGAACCCATAAAATTCATATTAAATCCTACAAAGGGCCAGCGAATTTCTTGACATTTGCTGGACTTAAACATAAGTCTGTGTACGACCATTCAACAAAATTTCAGTTATTTTATTGGCTTTGCATTAAAGTCTTGTTCTTTTCAAAATATGCTCCAAATGGCGTTGGAGGTAAACTAGCATACGTCGCGAAAATTAAACACAATAGAAACCTATATCATATACTATCAAACACAGGTGGGTTCGGTGTGTTCATTGCATCTAAATACATAAGAGAATATAGTCCAGGTTATTGAGCACTTTGTCACAATGCTTTGATACAGTAACTTTGATTCTAATTGAAGTGAAATGGGTTTAACACCCGACTATATACGTCAATGATTATAATGGAGTGAAGGTGATGACAACCTTGATGTGTAGTTTCCTTACACTCGTGTAGGCTGTGGCATCGGTGTCAGAGCAAACTTTACCACATATCATACTGAGTTGCCAGAGAGAGAGAGAGAGAGAGAGAGAGAGAGAGAGATGGGGTCATTTCGGGACTAACATATGATTTAATTTTATTTAAACAATTGGTTTGCGCGTAGGTGTCTTTAGCAGTGTGGGGAAATCGGAGGACCCGGAGAAAACCCACGAGGTTAAACAGGCGCAGGGCCGTAACTAGATATAAAATTGAACCATGTGTTAGTCCTGAAATGACCTATTTTGTGTCTAGTGGACGTTAAATCCATCTCTCTCTCTCTCTCTCTCTCTCTCTCAACGCTGCTCTGTTTCTAGGATAATAAATTGTTTTGTGAAAAGTCGACGGCTCAGTTCAATTGGTAATCAATTTTTATTGTAAGAAAACAGTCACCTTAAAGCTATTTACTGTTGATCATCACACGTCATTTGGTAGCTTATTTCCGGCGTTGAAATACAGTAGCTAAATCACTTAGTGAAATGAGTACAGGATTGTTTTAGAATGTATACCACACCCCCACGTTCACTTAATCAAAATATCTTGTTAATGTCATCTAATCTTATTCTGGGAAAAAATAACATCTGATTCCTCGATCTTTTTACACCAATTTGACCATGGGTTAAACAAGTACAAATATAAAATACTGCCCATTTTCTCGTAACAAAACACGTTTTTATAGCCCACATTTTACAGCTTATTGTGTTGTACGGTTTTCGGACATTTTTTTATAGACTTGCTCGACATAGAGTTTAAAGTGCGTATGGCTCTATTTTTTGGACCCATAAATGGGTTTAAAAGCATTTATTAATGTAATATGGGTGTATTTAAAGTGATTTATATTCAATGCTTTTAAAAAAATTATAATTTCTAATCAATTATGTTCGGTGAAATACGTGAACAGTCCAAACTATGAGTGTATTTAAAGTGATTTATATTCAATGTTTTTAAAAAAATTATAATTTCTAATCAGTTATGTTCGGTGAAATACGTGAACAGTCCAAACTGAACGCCTGCTTCGTCCGTTCTAAACATTATTTTATTATTGTTTTATCATTTGTGAATCAGCCATTACTATTTACTGTCGCATTGTAAATGAAATGATATGAAATGGGGTTTAACGTCCTACTGCTCTGCTCCGAACTGGGCTAATGAAGACGGGCATACGCCATACAGTGTGCTATGAGGGAAATTTTGCCCGGACAGCGGCACTACGGCTTACTCTTATATCGAATTCCAACTGTACACGGAACCTCGGTTTTTCGTCCCATCCGAACGACTAGAAAGCTGTCCTTGTCAGGCCCGCATTGTAATTTAGTATATGTTTTTCTTTGTTCATTGATTCTGCGGCCGAAATGATATGGTACACGACTCGTGTATCATATTTTAAAACGTCCTTTGTGTCTTAAATATTAGATATTAGGATCCCACATTTCCACGGCAACATAACAACATCAACATCAATATGGATTGAAATGAACCAATATTGAATTATAATTTGTGTTTTTAATTTCGAATATTATGGAAAATATTGAGTTAGAGACTTAGCTCCTTTAACAAAGTCCAACTATAAAATATTAAAGATTTTGTATCCTGTTTGTGAAGTGCTCATATTTTATACAGGTTCACACAGTACAGACATTGAATACTAAAAACTCCTTGCAACAAAACATATCTTATTCTGTTTGTGTTAGAATATGTCACATATAGATATATTCTCTCGAGCTATGCTTTCTGTGAAACAAGTAACATGTGTATATCTTATTGTTGAGGTGATTTGTTAATAATGTATGGTGTATTCCCGGAAGATGCCGCCCTTTTTATATTCATCAATTATTTAGCAGATAAAAGAAAAATCATGGCGTAGGACTTTTTGTTCCTACGTAACTCTCTGCAGTTTTGTGACCGCATATTTTCAATAGTAGAACATATTAAAACCAAGTAATGTTAGTAATAGCATTTTTTTTTCATTTGGAAACAATTGGTATTTCGTGGGAGATTGCGATCGCACTATAAATGTTAAAGTTCAAATTGAAATCATTTCTATGCCAATTAATATACAAACATTTATATAAACACATGTTTGATTTGAATAGTATTAATAAGTTCCAAATTAGTATAAAATCTATATAAACAAACGTTTGATTTGAATAGTATTAATAAGTTCCAAATTAGTATAAAATCTGAAATTGTTTGCTTTCATGTTTGACGATAGTTACTTTTATTAGGTCACATCCCAATCTGATTAGAATACAGATTTATATTTCGTTTCGTTTTTTATACTTTCGATGGCCTTTACTGACCGGTTGTAGTGGAAGGTCGCGTCAGAGGTCATACGCGTGGCTTTTGGCCCAATGATACCCACAGTTCCGCACACCTCACGCCAAAAACTCGACGTAACAGGCCGTTTTATTGGCTAGTCCCGAACATCACCCATAGAGCGGGTTATATAACAACTCTTTCAGACCCTGGTGTAGTAAAGACAAGTAAAACAAAATTTTGAACTATAAAAAACGAAATGAAATAGGATCTGTGTTTTAATCAAATTGCGCCACATCGAATATTGGAGGAAATAAAATGGGGTTTAACGTCCTACTGTTCTGCTCCTATACTGGGCTAATGAAGACGGGCATACGCCATACAGTGTGCTATGAGGGAAATTTTGCCCGGGCAGCGGCACTATCGCCTACTCGTAGATCGAATTCCAACTGCCAAGGGATCTTTTACGTGCATTCCAATGTAAACACGGGACCTCGGTTTTTCGTCTCATCCGAAGGACTAGACAGCTGTCCTTGTCAGGCCCTCCGTCCTGCATCACTGGCAAGGAGCTAGGAATATGTACAAACCAGAATATTGTATCATTAATAACGTGACAGGAGATGCAAGCCATATGGCCTAGAGGAGTGCGACTTATGTCACAATGTCTGTCATCTGTAAAAGTGTCGGGTGTTCTAACCCACGCTTGTACATAAGCAGGAGTGAAGCAAGCTGCTGTCGGTTGTCTATGGGTCCTCCGGTTTCCTCCCACTGCTAAAGACCCCTACACACAAGCGTATTATTGAAATACAATTGAACCATATGTTAGTCCCGAAATGATCTAGTTTGTATAGACTGGACGTTAACCCCCCCACCCCACCCTCTCTCTCTCTTTCCTTATTAAAGATACATATTTTAACAATTTAACCCTCGCGTAAACAATAAGCAAAAGAAATATAGAGAGTTTAACGTCCACTCGACACAAACTAGGTCATGGTTCATGAACATGGTTCAATTTTATTTCAATAATTCGCTTGCGCGTTGTTGACTCAATGACAAATCTTATGATACAGCGCGCACGTGCTAATCATTCGGCCATGATGGACATTTGATGCGCGAGATAATGATGTAGGCATAGTGATATCACAATTAATGCTGTGCGTCAATGAAATTGTCTCAGATACCGAGCAAATCCCCTCCTGCAAAGCTTCCTGGATCTGCCCCTGAATATGTTTCTAAGCTTATTTTAGGCTAGATAATTAATATAATATAAAAACCAAACCCTTCAAATTGATACAGTTCTTCTTTAACGTTACGGTAACACTAATGGCTTAAAATTCATGCTTCAAGTAAGAAACGGTACAAGATTAATAAGTCATCATTTAATAATTTGACAGATTAATTAGGACCTACTGTGACCCTTTATTCCAACCAATCAATACCAGTCATCAATCCCATTTTCCTGTACTATATCAATACGTCTGTAGAAGTTAGGAAATAATATCTTCCGACTCGATGAAGAGAGTTTTGAAGGGTGATTACATTATAGAAGTTATAATACTGATGTAGGAAGATGAACCTAAGGGACTGGTTATTAAAGTCTTATTAAGATGGAGGGGTAGATATAGCTTGTGATTTATGACGTCCGTCTGGAGTTATGGTCTTTAGTCTCCAACTATATACAAGTATGCCGATGGTTGAATGATTATTTTCTGATTGCAAAAGTTTACGATATCTATGGAAGATGGCGGCAATGGTTGCCCGTTACGCACCCGTCAGTCAAAGCGGGAAATCACGCCATTTATTAGTATTTGGAGATCATGTTTTAATATGTTGCCTGGAATAAAAAAAAAGAAAACCAATCGATCTGCACCGGCAGACAAAATATAAAAGCCACAAACACGACGTAAATCGAACACAAAGTAAGGTATACATTGTGGAGTATTGTGAATTTTAACATGGCGATATTTTTTCTACGGTTGAAACGAACAAAGATTTAAAGAATCCGGAAGTGACGCAGTTATTGTTACCGTAGAGAGCGGTAACCGCCGAACTGATGATTTTCAGTTGACTGATTATTCCTGTGAAGACGAATTGAAGCGTGTTGAGACTGGGAGGGTCATATGTTAGAAACTGAATGACCCGTAAATATTACCCAGATAGGACCCCCTTCCCATCTACAAACAATAAGTATTTCCAAATCTCTCAGTCTAATCAGACTCAGACCCGGTTTACACAATTTTAAACTCCTTTATCAAAGATGGGATAATTTTTAGTGGATGCGGTATTTTAGAGAATTTTTAGTACGCCCGATAAGTTCTCGCTCCGACTTCTGAAACCGAATGAAGCCTGAAGGAGAGAGAGGTTAAAGTAGCTAAGCCTCTAACTCAAAATCAACCAAAGTCTTCCACATTGAAAACACGAATTATTTATCAATTTAAATCATCAACATTGATGTTGTGATCTTACTTGGAAAAGATGAGCTTCTGATATCCAATATGTAAGACAACATAAACATTTTACCATTTGTACACGAATCGTAGAGCATAATGCGTTTCAGGGACTCGAGTCGCGTCAAACGGTGGCGCTATATTCTTGTTTGAAGAGCATGCGCAATAAATACTATATGTGTAGACTGGAATAACTAGACGCTAGAGACTGCCATTCGATTGAGACTTCTCTCGTATTTTACCGAACATAACTGATTTGAAATTAGAGTAAACAAAGAAACGATTGAATGTAAATCAGTTTATATACATTTATATTACATTATTATATGAGTTGCGATCCATTTGTGTCAATTTCTAGATTCCAAATATTAGCGAAATAGCTCCTTTTACAGTCACACAGGCTTTCATTTCAGTGATTTTCTTGACAACAACAAATAAAATCTACATATCAACGGCCTCGGATGTGGCCTTCTATTAGTAAGTGCAGGAGGACCGCACTACACGTAAAACAAAAATCTACAAGATAAACCTGCGGACAAGACAGAAAATAGACATTGCACCAAATAAACAAATATCTAATCAAGTGAATGGATTCGGGCCATTCCGGGGGCCAGCCGTAAGTGTCCACTGCGCTGTACAGTACCGGGCCTATAGTGACACAAAGACAGCACAAACACTTAAACTTTATTGTACTGAGAGGATAAAGAGACAACGCAACTCATTGAAGAAGTTGGTGAAATTGGAATTCCTAGACTAATATTGATAGGGCCTAGATTCAATTACCCACTCACAAACGGACCTTTACAATGTGATACAAACTGAACTCGACCGTTCTATGTGGCATGTTTATACACTTACGGTATTGATTGAAAAAAAGACAGCACAACAACTAAATCTATTTTATATTGTTTTTATTTATTGCGTAACGATCCATGTGTTATACGACCTTTGGTATGGTCACGCAATAATATAATAAAATATAGAACGTGTTAGCTTCGCGATTGACTTGAGTCGTATCTTCGTAATATATCTTTATTTAATATTATATCAACCACTGCAGAAAATCTTTATCTTTTTTTAGTGCTTGTTTAGCAATTTTAACCCACCTATCGACCTTTAAACGGTTACATATAGGCTTATATTTCATAAGGCCAACTTCAATTTAGGTCAAAGGTCACGAAATGTAAACAGGGCTAGCGCTAATCCCAACCCTAATTCTATGCCTGGCTCTAACCCTGGAGCTAGCCCTAACGCTTACCCTAACTCAAACCTACAATCTCGCCAACAATCACGTGCCCTAACCTTATTTAAATCTCAGTGACCTTGATGAAATCTTGAGTTGGCCTTAAGAAATGGCTCTAGCCTTTAACAAACCATACGTGGCGAGATCATGTGGTCGAGTCATTGTGATTTTGCAGTCTGGTTTCCACTTGTCAGTGGTGCAGGACGGAGTGATGTCCCCTTGTCAGTAGTGCAGGACGGAGTAATGTCCCCTTGTCAGTGGATGGTCTGCCGAGGAAAAGCCTTAAGATTAATTATAGTTATCGTTAGGCCTCCTGATCCATGATTAAATAGTCCATTTCTCTTAAACGTCGGCGACTCTCAATGGCGATATCCATAGCCCGTATACCAAACATGTTGGAGTTCTCTTACATGTATATAATCAAGTTCGTGTCGCTAATATTTCTATTCTTGAATGAATTTTCTGAGTGAAAGCCTCAAATTAATCCCTGCTGCTCGGGTGAGAGCCACATTAGTGTGTTTCTTACTAAGGATTGGATATGTACGATTCCACCATATTGAACCGGTGGTTTCTGTTTTGCTTGTTGTCAGTAGTTAATTTAGTGTATGAGTTGGCTCGCCATTGTGGAATGTGTTTGTGACATAGAATAAGTAACAAGTTGAAGGCATCTTATGTTTTCAGTTTAATATCCCGTCTAGACTTTTCTTATAGGTTAACATAATCAAGCCTGTCTCTAGTTCCTGATGTGTTGGACGTCTAACAAATGATAGGCTACGATTAATGGAAATATAAACTGAAAAAAAAATATGTATATTTTATTACATAATTTTTAGAATGTAAAAAAACTTGTTGTGGCATAGTTTTTGTTGAGACATAACCTCGCTGGAACAGTTTTATTTCATTAATTTTCTTGCTCGTACTACTCAGGGGTCTTTAACAGTGTGATTAAACCGATGGACCCGTCGTAGAAAACCCACGAGGTTAGGCAGGCGACCATACTCCTTGTCACGTACAAGCTTAGGATCGAAACCACGTCACTTTGACTTATTGATATACCTTATGACCTAAAGTGTAGACGTTGGATCACTCGACCCCCCCCCCCCCCTGTTGTTGCACATGTCATGATATAAGCTATCATACCAGTGAAGAGTCACGATTCTTCTAAAAGAGAATTTATCATTATGGCAATTCCAAACTGTTCGATTTCTGCGTGATTTGATTCTGTGTAAAAATTTTGAGACAAATCTGGCAAGCCATTGCTGATATATTGACGTTTTTTAAATTTAATTTACAATTTGTATAGTGGTCTCTGGAAGTTTTTTTTTTAACCCCATGCAATATTTATAGGTTTTCATGAAGGTTATTTTGAATAGGGGAACGTTATATCGCCTCTTTAAAGGAGCCAAGTCGGTAATATTTGGGACCTAGAAATGGCCTATTTTGTTTCAGTAGTTTTATAAAGGATTAACTGACAAGTAAGATTATTGACAGATCCCTGACGAAACAAGGAGAAATTCCTCTTGCACGAAAATATGTGTTTGGACTTTTCACCAGTTTAAATGTAAGTTACTGAAAGGCCGTTCGGGCGTTTATATTTAAAGGCGCTAAATCGCTAATATTTGGGAGCTAGAAATTGACACAAATGGGTTGCAACGCATTTAATATTAATAATGTAATATGAATGTATATAAACTGATTTACATTCAATCATTTCCGTTCACTCTGATTTCAAATTAGTTATGTTCGACGAATACGGCAGAAATCTCAATCGAATGGCAATCGAATGGCAATCTCTATCATCTGATTAATCCAGTCTACATCGATAGTATTTATTGAGCCTGCACTTCAGATAAGAATATAGCGTCACCGTTTGACATGCCTCGTTCTTCGAGTCCCTTGTTACACGATTATGGTCAAATAATTTTGTTTGTTTTGTATAATAGATATCAGAAGCCCATTTCTTCCCGGTAAGATCACAACATCAGTGCTGATGTAAAGCCCCGGTCCCACTGCACTTACTGATGTAAAGAGGATGTAAAACGGGGAAAAAACGTGCATCCGTTGTGTACTCATTGCATACGTATTTCATACGCTCTATCCATCGAGCATCCGTTCACTTCGATTTCATCCGCGTAAAAAGTTTTGAGCTGCACAAAACTTTTATAACGGATGAACTTTTCTGCCGTGTACGATGTAAATGCGCGACATATACGAGCACCAAACATTCCATGTCCGTTATCATTCGTTAAACGTCCACTGTATCTTCTCTGCATCCTCTGGGCATCCTCGCAACTCACATCCGCTCCAGCTGAAAACGGAAAGAGGGAGGAAAGATAAGGTACATGGAACGTCTATACATCGATAGTAGCACGGAAATAGAAAGGATGTAAGCGTATGCATCTCGTATATAAAGTTTTCAAAACGGACAAAGCGTTTGTATCTGGGATGTATCTGGAAAATTAAAGGATGTCTGGAGTTTGCCTAACCCCTTCGGAGCTGTCATCCACTTCCATCCGCTAGGCTTCCGATGAACATCCATTTAACGTTCCCGCTACATACTTCTCACGTTGGTTCTTTTCCGTTCTGTTTTTGCAAATTTTCGTCAATTTTATCCATTTCTAGAGCGGATTAAAACGGATGGAGCCACCCCCCGAAAGTTTGTTCGTCCGCTGTGTCCTTTTTGCATACGTTTTGTGTCCATCGGCCACTGGGACCGGGCTTAAGATAGCAAACGATTCGTGTTTTCAATGTCGAAGACTTTGGATGATATTGAGTTAATTTTGCTACTTTAATGTACTGAAATAGTCCCTATCTACATGATATTGACCTCAGACGTATTCTTTTTATTTTTTCAGACTACAGATGTGACACATGGCGAATTTGAAATATTAGTTAATGCCATGAATAAAACCAAATATAAAGGTATGCATAGACACTATAGAAATATACACTCATATCAGTGTCATATTTGACAGTTAATGCTATTTCGAGACATGTATTGAAAGCTTAATACTGACGGTTAGAATTTCATAACATTATAGATTATTGAGAAATGGATGGTATTACGAAACTAATTCGATATATATATATTTTATTCCTGTTAAACGATAAATTGTAGGCGATAGGAAAGTAATGGAGTTTTCATCAACACAATTCGTCGGTCAGTTGAAGACTAATATACTGTGTTTTTTCCTTGTGGTGGCTAAGTGGGCAGGACGCTAGCTCGCTAGTCTGGAGATCGCGTTTTCGATCCTTGCATTGGATGAGAAAGTTCATTGGGATTTTCCGAAGTAGTAGGCCATAGTGCCGCTGCCCGGGCAAAATTCCACTCATTGGCAGGTGGACAGGTTCGTTTCCGTCTTCACACATATCCTCCAAACGACTAGACGTACTGTCCATGTCCACGAAAGCAACATTTGTACTTAAGCCATTTTGGAAAAGGAAGCGGACCCTTCCACATTATCTTTAGTTAGGCAATTTTGAAAAAAAAGTTGTAGAAGTTGACGAACTTTATTGTCCAAGTAGTGTTAAGTTTGAAATGTTTGGCTATACACGATTATTGGATCTTCAATTCGATATCGTTGAATGATGTTAAATTATTTTCTTTTCAACAGGAGACAGTACCAAAGTTAGAGAATTTTATCTCTCACGTCTGCTTCCACCAACAGATTATTACATCACTTACGAAGGTTCTTTAACTCATCCGGGTTGTTATGAAACAGTAACCTGGGTTATTTTAAATAAACCAATATACATCAGCAAAAAACAGGTAGCCTATAAGTAGATCTTTTAGTATTGTATAAGTTTAGTTGTTTACAATTTTAACGAAAATCATCGTGTAGGCCCAACTTTGCCAGTTGTGTTGGGTTCTCGATTGTCAGTCAATAACGTACCGAATGGACAGAATGCAATCGTGTGACGCGGAATTCAGTTCTGTCACAGTTCTGTCAGTTCCGACAATGGAGGCGTTTTGAGTATAATCGTGATGTAATTAAACCTATGTAATATGTTTCAGCTGTCATGATTGGTTGAGATATTTTTTCATGTAGTCGTCGCATGCGTTTTAGCCCCAAATTCCCATTTTCACTCGATTGTCACTTTTTGGGGGTTTGACAGAATTCAATTCCGGAACGGTCAATCGAGCATCCCATATGTTACGAACTTGGTAAAGTCGGAAAAATATATTAACCCCAAAAATCGAAAGACCATCAACTGCATTTTGTAATTGAATTTAAAACGAGTCTAATAATTCAGCCGGAATTTCGATTTAAGTGAACATAAGAGAGTGGACAAAAATTTACTGTGACATAGATTAATGGAGAATAAGTCTATTGGATGATCAATAAATAGTAATTACTGTTAGCGTGGGTTTCCAGTCAATGTGCTTATGTCGATCATATCAGCGACTGAGGACAACTAAGAGCCTTTGGGTTTCTTCTAAGGTATTCGCCATTTTGTTGATCACGTGATCAAAAGTTAAAAGTCACGTGTTAAGTCTAATCGCTATCAGTTCCGAGGTGACATGAGCGCTCCGAAATTCAGTTGCCCTCAGCTGTCCTCTCAGTTCTTGATATGATCGACATAAGCACACTTGCCACTCACTGGAACTAGTTGCTTTGATAGTTGCAATGTCAGCAAAAGCCCCGCTTAAGACCTTTTTCAGTATCATCCAGTTGAAGCTAGTTGCTCCCAGTTGCCGAAACGCCAGTTGCCGAAACGCCAGTTGCTCTCACTTGCCGAAACGCCAGTTGCTCTCACTTGCCGAAACGACAGTTGCTCTCTTAGTTGTCGAAACGACAGTTGCCGAAACGCCAGTTGCTCTCAGTTGCCGAAACGACAGTTTCCGAAACGCCAGTTGCTCTCAGTTGCCGAAACGACAGTTGCCGAAACGCTAGTTGCTCTCAGTTGTAAGGTCGACATAAGCCGCCCTTAATGGATTTGATATTTAACACATGGATTTATTTGTTGTACCAAATAAGAGATTCGATGACTTTATTGTACCAGGTGTGGGCCTTTAATTTGATATAATGTTATTTAACATAATTCTATTTTATTGAAATAAATTACACAGTTTGTACCGTGTCTTACAGATAGATACAATGAGAAAATTGAATCAAGCTGGTCGTAAGAACCCACAAATGTTAATGGCGGGTAATTTACGACCTCGTAAAGACGTCAATCAACGAACAATCAGAACTAATATAAATTTTGTAAGTAGCCAATGTATTTTATACCATAAAGTTAAAATAAATATTCCAGATTAGGACATCCAGCTGTGCACAACTAGTTAAATCTTCATGTTATAAAGGCCATCGAAAGTATAAAAAAACAAAACGAAATATAGATCTGTATTTTAATCAGATCGATGTAGGCTGGGGTGGGGCGTAGTACATTTGACACCGGTTCAATTTCTCCATCTATCGTTTAATCATGCCCTTATGGATTCCATACCAATGTAATGAATTTGATTGTTATCATAGTTCACAGTTTTGAGAGAGAGAGAGAGAGAGAGAGAGAGAGATTTAACGGGGATTTAACGGCCACTCGACACAAACGACGTCATTTCGTGACTAACACATGGTTCAATTTCATTTCAATAATTCGCTTGCGCGTAGAGGTCTTGAGCAGTGGGATGAAACTCTGGGACCCGGAGAAAACCCGCGAGGTTGGACAGGCGACCCTACTCCTTGGAAGTATCATATTAAATTATTAAATCTGTATATTATTTTTCAGCATAACCATAAATGTTCAATGGTCCAACATATGTATTATTCAGGTATATTACATTTTTATACGCCCATATTTTCATTATGTCGTCGCCCTTGTCCGTCCGTCCGTTCACATTTTCTTTGTGGACACGCTACAGGTCACAATTTTTATCCGATTTTGACGAAACTTGAATTATTTGTTTATATCTCAAAGATCTCGGTTCCTTTCGATATTGGCGCATATCAGAACGTAACGTCGTGGATTATGGCCCCTGATTTTTCGAAAAATCGCGTTTTTAACTTTTGGAAACTCTAGAGGTCACATGAATACCCGTTCAAATTTGTCACCGTTACACCATAAATACGGTTGAGTTCGAATTTCGTGAAAATCGGACAGAAACTTCCGGAAAAAAATGGCCGCTCCCGTTTACGCAAATAGAGTTAAAGCATGCAATAACCAAGGTTGTAGACCCTCTGGAGGCCACAATATTTGTCCGATGAAACATAAAACATGTTAAGGATCAAAAGATCTTGGATAAGTTCCATTTTTTTCTTCTATTTCCCTGAAAAGGCACAACTCAAGCAACTTAACAGTCCGGCTTTCACGTTTACCTCATTTAGTCCCTGATGCATAATTTTGCGACCGACTGCATTTATTTTGCGACTGACAATTTTTTTCCTGACCCCCTCCCCCCACACACACACACACCCCGGCCCCACCCTCACATTTCCTTCATTTACGCCCCTGGCAATGTGGGCATATCTTGCATGACAACCCTTTATATTTAATTGTATTTTTTCAATTTACTACTTTTTATCTGCAGTGTCTATTTCCATCGACAATCCCATTATAACATGCTGAATTTTCTCCTGTAGTCCATTGACTATATCGTTGACCTACACATGCATCATGTAATTTAATAAATAAAACAGCTCAATCTGTGTTCAAATTCTCCAAGGATTTTCGGGTCATGATAGTAATTTTCTCACGAGGCCATATTTTAGTTAATGTTAGTTAATGTGCGCGCGGTTGAAAGGTTGCTGTAATCGCGTCCTCCTACGCCATAACAGTATAATTTCTTAACAGGAACTACATTATAAAATATTCAGACTCGCATAACACGTCGGGAATTACCGGGAGTTATCCAGGAATATCGATTGATTTGAAAGGTATTTATGAAGTTTGTGGAACGATTTCGAAATTATGTGAATTGTTTAAACTTCCTCTTTCAGGTGTCCCCTGAAACGTATATTACCCGTTTAATGGAACAATCCTAAACTAGCAACACCCCATATTATATCTACCAAGTCTGGTTTAAAATCATTAAGTGGTCTGTGTCCACTAATGTCCAGAATTAGAAAAATTCCACAGCCCTTCCCTAAAGCACCAAATGTGTTCCTATTGGGTAAATTAACTACATTTGAACAAATCTGAAAAGGCACTACTCAAGCAACTTACCTGTCCGGCCTTCACGCATGTGTGTCTAGTCGTTCGGGTAGGACAAAAAGCTGAAATCCAACCATGATGAACATATTGGCTTACACTTAAAATACAAGCAGAGTACAGTGGAGGGAGTACCGCTGTTCTAGTAAAATTCTCCTACATTTAGTGTTTCAAATATGGCCAATTTGATTAAAACACAGATCCTATTTCGATTCGTTTTTTTTATATTTCAAAATTTCGTTTTACTTGTCCTTACCACACTAGAATCTGGAGGAGTTGTTATCATTAACGTGTTCTGGATGATGTGAGGGATTAGCCAATGAAACGGTCTGTTACTGTGAGGTTTTGGCGTGAGGTGCACGGTACTGTGGGTAATCCACTAGAAACATCAATGCTGATAGGTTAATTGGATGTCTGACGTCATAGGGTCACAAGCCGATCGTATGACCTCTGACGCGACCTCCCAAAACAACTGGTCAGATCTTCATGTAATTTAGGCCATCGGAAGTATAAAAAACGAAACGAAATATAGATCTGTATTTTAATCAGATTGCAAAATGGCCAACATGTTGTGTTGGCCAGATACTATACCCCAATGTAACGTAATCTTTCAATTCAATTCCTTTTTCAGTAAATAATAAATACGCGGAAACGTGACGGGCCAAATCTTAAAAGATGCCTTATAAGGTTAAAATCTACGTCACTTGGAAGGGAGATGTACATTTGGTAGGTATCAACTTTTTATAAGAATAAAATTTACAAATTAACCGTTTATGCGGGTTTATTCATCGGTTCACTACCAGTGTGTCGTCTTCATGCCATGACTCTCCCGTTGGAGCAGATATTGTCCTACTATACCTCGTGTGCTGTTTCTACTGATGAGTACAAGAACAGAGCTAACATCGCTGTTGTCAACTTGACAATATCGGCAATGTCCAGAAGTTCTAGCATTATTAAGCGTGCTAGGTTGCAAATTTTACTGTTTACTGAACCAAATGCAAACCGCCAAAAAGAGATTTGGTACCAAAGATATTCCCCGCCGGTCTTTAGTTGCTTGTAGTTGGATATGATTTAGCATTAAACCAACCAGACAATGCCATAGTGAGAATGCATATGAAAATATCGAGATACAGCTGAGTGGGAGAGAGAGAGAGAGAGAGAGAGAGAGAAATGGGGTTTAACCTCCAAGTCCATTTAGCAGTGGGGGGAAATCAGTGGACCCAGAGAAAACCTACGAGGTTGGACAGGCGACCCTAGTCCTTGTCACATACAACCAGGGAATCGAAACCACGCCAGTTGACTCAATGACAGACCTTATGATACAACGCGCATGCGCTAACCATTCGACCATCCACCCCACTTCCTCAAATTGTAAGAGGGTGGCTATCAAGATACCTATTCTGTATAATATCCATGTTAAATATACGTGTATCTACTGGCGGTATTTAACTTGGTGTACATATTATATTTTCTAGATTCATCATGATGTTGATTGTGAAGGAGATGGTCGATATAACTATTTGGAGGAGATTTATTTACTTCCTCTACAGTCAGTACGTTTCACTAAGTATCAAAATATTACAGACCAGTTTCAGTAGCTGTTGCTGCCAATTGGGCTCTAGTCCATGTTTCGACTGGCAAGGGCAATCTGCCATCATTTCACTAAAACAGATCATGGCTGTGAGGCCCACCAAATATTTTCGGAATTGGACACTGCAGTCCAGCCCGCATCAGGGATGCATTAGTCGAATTATGTGGATATTATATGGAACATAATACTTGAACACACGCTATACCGATTGGCATGGGCAGTCGGAGACTTATACCCCCGTCAGACCGGGGTGGCGTCCATACTGCGCTGCTGCGACCGTACGGGAACCAGAAAATGCACAAGGTTGCCGGCAAACGTAAACACAACGCCAGATAATGTCCCAAAAAATTACAAACTTGAAAAAAGCATCGTTCTCACAGCTTTCGTGGTCAAATCGCAGAACCTTGGCATTTGTTTTGAACATGCTCAAAACAAACGCCGTGACTCAGCGATCATTAGCGGCCATGGAGACCACAGTACGATATCTGGCGTTTCCACCACGCTTTTACCAAGCTTATGGCGTCGTCCTAGCAGCGCAGCGCAGTAAGGACGCCACCCGATCTGACGGGGGTATTATCGTGTATGATATTTTCACCATAGTTGTAAAATCCTGGACAATTACAAAGCGATGTTCAATTGCTATTCACAATTTAAGAAATATGACCTTTCACAAACAAACAGTTCTGCATTCTGGTGGATTGTCGACGATAATATTTCGGTTCGTGTCGCACACTATATTATCGAAAGTGAATCTCCGGCAATCTATCGCGCAGCCTACGATTTCTTGCCTTAGATGGAAAAACGTCAACAATTAATCCGTTGTGTAGGCTACCCTAGACTACCGTCATATGATTCATACACGAGTCATGTTTGGTCATAATCCTGAGGAGTTAAAGATCCCTTGATGTTTGATTGCTTTGTTTACATCATACTTAGGTTTAAAATACAGATGTGACGTCACCCTTTGATGTTGGCGTACCATTATTTCAAATAATCGTACGGGCAACTTGCCAATAGTACTTTATTCAAACCAGTGAGATATTGGACTAATGTGACGTAAAAGCTCGTGCTGAGTGTCAGTATTTTAAGATGTTTAATGGTCTCGAGCTTACGACATTGCGTAATATATTGTAAAAACATTCGGGCCTACGGCCCTCATGTTGTTACAATATATTACTTAATGTCTCGCTCTCGACCATTAAACAATACATAAACATTTGACGTCAACGTCGTCCCGGTAGTGACGTAGCAAGTGAATACCCTTTTCAATTTCATATTAGATGTATTCAGTATATCTATATTTGAATTATTTTTGTTTTCAGACATGCAATATGATGACGATGTGCAAAAAAGGTTGCCAAACAATCAAAACTATATCAATAGCTTTTTAAACGAAAAAGGAATCCAGAGTGCTTTAAATTCTGTTAGCGCCTTAAATGTGTGAATGATTAGGATGGAGGTCTAAATGAGACAATTACAACGAATTTATCGAGTATTACCGTGACTGCTTATTTCAAGAGAATTTGAGCTGCGACACCTACGAACAATTTGAGCTGCGACACCTACGAACAATTTTTTTTAATCAAAAACGGTGCCGATCATTCATTTTTGATATCTTAGCCCCGAGTGATTTTGCTTTTAGACAAACAAATTAAAATTACGTGTTGTGTTGTGAATTATTTGTGTGTGTGTGATTAAATCTATAATAGAGTTTGCTGTGAATTTGAAGCTGTGTCTATAATGTGAACAGATTCATGTGTTACTTATTTCAAGCCAGTGTATCAATTTTAAAACTTGATATGGCCGTGTTTTAGTTTTCCAAAACAAACGAAACGAATGGTTTTTAATTGTTCTTTTGATGACAATTAAAAATGTGATCACAAAACAATTCACGTTTAATCTGACAGTGAATAGAAAAAATAGTAGAAAATTATTATATTGTATATTTTCACTCTAAATGGCTTTATTGAAATTTGCAGTTGCCTCACTACCATTACGTAAAATGGTTAATCCCCAACAACTTAAACAATTCTAATTAATATATTGTTTAGTTGATCATCACAGTAGTTATAATACTTAAATATACAAATTCTAATAAAGCCATTTCGGGTGAAAATGTACAGTATAATAATATTGAACAGGGGTGACTGGTGTTAGGATATTACCCTCTGTTGCTAGACTGACTGGTTAATGTATACTGTATAGAGTCAACCAATGATTGCTACATCCTTATCTCTAGTATGATTGATTGAAACTTACAATTTTCTAATCAAGTCGACATGTACAATAGGCATAAACAAGACCAGGCCATGTGCAGTATATATTGGAAGTCTTCTCTAGGATGGAAGGGGAGATTTAATATCGAGGTTGTAGATAGAGAAACGTGGGATGCCCAGGTCATCTAATTGTATATCTAGACCAACAACCTGACCCCGAGTTTACATAACATTCTCAGACTTAAGTTAAGAATTTACTCAACTTTCAATCAATATCTTTGATCCAGAAACACACAACTTTGCACATAGTTTCTTATTGATGTAGTTGATACATTAAAACAACAAAAGTTTTACTAAGGGCTAAATTTTAGTTCATATAAGGCGAACAATTGTGAGTAAATTGTTAACTTAGTCTGAGAATGCTTTGTTGAACTCGAGATCAGTTTCTTTATTCTGCTGTAATGTGTGTATCTGGGTATACTAGTATAGTATAGTTACAATCTGATTAAATACACATCTATATTTCGTTTCGTTTTTTATACTTTCAATGGCCTGCAATACATGAAGATCTGGCGAGTTGTAGTGGAAGGTCGAGTAAGAGATCATACGAGCGACGTTTGACCCTATGACGTCAGACATTTGATTAACCAATTAGCGTTGATGTTTGTAGTAGGATACCCACATCCGTGCACCTCACGCCAAAACCTCGTCGTAACAGACTTGGCTAATCCCTCACATCATCCAGATCGCGGGTTATATAACAACTTTTCCAGATCCTATTGGAGCAAAGACAAGTAAAACGAAATTTTAACTATAAAAACCGAAACGAAATAGGATCTGTGTTTTAATCAGATTGGTATAGTATTTAGTATAGTGTAGTTTTATTGAAGAACTGATAGCTTCAGATTAGGTTTTTTTAGAGAAAAGTAATTTTACATGTAATATGTGGAAACAGACCACCATTAATTTCCTCACTGACTTCAATGTTAATTCTGGCATCTTTGCACGGCTCGAACTTTCCACAAATTTTCGTTGAGCTGAATGCTTTTTCCTACAGAGAGAGAAACATATGGTCATGTCTTTGCACCAAAATTTGTATCAGGTTGTCCACCAACATTTTGATATACACATCACCGTAACCAACCTGATAACTCTGTTATCCTTCCGCCTCAAAATCGTGAATATTTACCAAAACCTGCCAGAAATGCTAATTCAAACCCTCTTCGTCCATTCTAGACCAAACAAATCTCCAAAAATGGGCATGCAAAAGAGACAGAATTGCTATAAATAGACGAACTACAATTGGTGGATACCGAAATGATGAAATTTAATGGTGGTCTGCTTAGGTGAAATTTAATGGTTGCCTGCCTCTATGTGTTCATAATGTGTTGATTTAAAGGACAAGTCCCACATATATATTTGAATGAATAAATTTAATTAATTTCGTGTGAAAGGCTCTTAGAAACCGTTATTCTATTTCTGTGCGTGGGGTTGGCGATATGTTCCCAGTTTCTACCCTATTTAACGGGCCTGGATAACCATGTCAAAGTAATGTGTAAGCAATTCGTCGTGATTATACCGGAAGTGCGAGTTTGCATCCTCAATAAAAAAAATTGAAATTTTTGCTCCATTTAATGAAATGTCAGTGAATTTTTAGTTGGATGTTTGGATGAGTTTTTCTAATACAAAATTTGATTATCTTCGTAAGTGTTAAATTGATATGTAATCGTTGGAAATACAACATATATTTGTTAACTTATGTATTCTCAAGTGGTGAGTGATATCAGATCTATACGCTTTCACACAAATGAAATTCATCTGTCAGAACTTGATTTGATAACCGATGTAGGTAAAAGATCGCCCGGGGTTTGTCGACATGCGTTGTGAGAACATGTTGGTATTTCGCTTAATTCTCTGTCAGTTTGATGCTAAAATTACTGTCGAGGTGGTACAGTCATGTCCACGAGAGGGATAGAGGGGGGGGGGTAACGTCCACTCGACACAAACTAGATCATTTCGGGACTAACATATGGTTCTATTTTATTTCAATAATTCGATTGCCCGTAGGCGTCTTTAGCAGTGGGAGGAAACCAGAGGACCCGGAGGAACCCACGAGGTTGGACAGGCGACCCTACTCCTTGTCACGTACAACCGGGGAATCGAAACCATGCCAGTTGACTCAATGACAGATCTTATGATGCCACACCCCTTGTGTCCACAAGAAAATATTGATTTTTGATGCATTATTTTTTTATTAAAAAGAGTGGGGTCCCTCGATCACACCTTTTACCTGGTCTAACGGGCAGAGGATTGCTCGACACTGAAATCCACATTTACCTGGTCTAACGGGAAGAGGGTTGCTCGACACTTACCAACGGATACTATCAGAAATGTGGGACTGGGCCTTTAATCTGGGTCTTATAATTAATTGATTTTGATGTAAATATGTGATTATTGTGTGTGTTTTTCGTATTAACTTTGTATAAAATGCCCTTCATCTGCAACTAAATGATAGCTCAAGACAGTGCATGCTTTTACTTGTAATAATGTATGAATGTCGAATGAAAGAATAAGTAATTGGGTGCAAAAGAAATAAATCTAATTTTGCCGCTAACAAACTGTATAATGCTGTTAGAAAGCTATTAAAAAAAATGTCTTAAAAATGGTTTCAATTAAAGTGACGTTATTGTCATGAAATTTTACTGTAAGTTTATCTCTTTATCTGGTTTGAAAACTTCATCTCTATAGTGAATTTGTACGTGAATGGCAGAATTCTCATAAATATCGATGCTAAATATGCGTGTTGTAACAAAATTAATTTACTAAGGGTTAATATCCATATATCAAATCTTTCACACTATTTTTTATAATAATACTTTGCATTTTATTATAAGGAGGGGAGAAAATTTGAGTAAATACCCAGATATATGTAAGATAATTGTATGACGTCAAGCCATAGTCATTGAACGTTTTTACATAATTATAATACATAACCTATATCATAAAGTCTTCCTTAAACAGGTCCCGTGTACACATTGGCGTGCACGTAAAAGATCCCTTGGCAGTTGGAATTCGATATAAGAGTAGGCGATAGTGCCGCTGCCCGGGCAAAATTTCCCTCATAGCACACTGTATGGCGTATGCCCGTCTTCATTAGCCCAGAATAGGAGCAGAACAGTAGGACGTTAAACCCCATTTCATTTCATTTTCATTTCATTTTTTCCTTAAACAATCTGATTAAAATACAGATCTATATTTCGTTTCATTTTTTTATACTTTCGATGGCCTACACTACATGAAGATCTGACCAGTTGTAGTGGGACGTCGTGTCGGGGATCATTCGAGTGGCTTTTGACCCTATGACGTCAGACATTTGATTAACCAATCGGCGTTGATGTTTCTAGTGGGATGCCCACAGTTCCGTGCACCGAACTCGCCGTAACAGACCGTTTCATTGGTTAATCCCTCACATTAACGAGAACGCGGTATATATAACAACTCTTCCAGATTCTAGTGCAGTAAAGACAAGTAAAACGAAATTTTGGAATATAAAAAAAAACAAAAAACGAAACGAAACAGGATCTGTATTTGAATCAGATTGTTCCTTAAACAATTACTCTTAAGTAATGCCAAGTATTTGTATTTCTATTATGTTTTATTAACTCGTACCAAATTATAATTATTAGTAATTCCTGGGTTGATGTAAAATGCCTTCCTATATTTCACTTCCTGTCCTGTTGACTTAATACTTAAAACTTGAATAATATTATTACTACATCCTGCACAATGCCAACTTTAAATCGATTGTATAATTGGTTATGTTAGGTTCCCACTGTCTAGCGATGCGTTACGAGAGGAGTGTTCCTATGAGTCCACGATCTGGTACGTGTAGGTACGTTCGGATATACGTTTCGATACGATCAACACGATTGCTACGACTGACCTCAATATATGATCAGACCTGATAGGATCACCACGATTAAAACCATGATTTCAATCGTAGCGTGAATCGTGATATTGGGAACCTAGCATTATGTATTCATTTTTGGTATTCCAAATACAAACCTGTAACCCAATCAAAAGTCAGTAGCCATAAGTCGTATACTCAACATAAGTTGTGTGTTTGTGTGCGTACACTAACGTCCGCTTCCATAATAAAGGGATATCGCAGCCATAGGATTCCCAGACATAGTGCATGACCCTGTAACCAAGTTAATTTCCAATGTTTTTTTTCTTGCATGAAAGAAAGAAATGAATATTTTGCGTTTCTTTAGCTGGTAATTATTTATGTATGTGGTGCTTTAATGGCTTTATCTATGCACTGGGTGATTTATGTAAATATATTTTTATCATTTGTTTTATTTGAGAAATAAACCAGTTTACTAAATCTTTATGGTTTTATCGACGACTGGATGACCAAGAGTCAGTGGGAGAGAAGAGAGAGAGAGAGGTTTAACGTCCACTCGACACAAACTAGGTCATTTCGGGACTAACACATGGTTCTATTTTATTTCAATAATTCGCTTGCTCGTAGAGGATCTTCAGAAGTGGGAGGAAACCGGAGGACCCGGAAAAAACCCACGGGGTTAAACAGGCACAGGGCCAGGGGCGGATCCAGAGGGAGTGGGGGGGGGTGAGAAAAGTTTCACGGTCGTGTGCTTCATCTTTTATTATTAGATGGTGGAATGGGCATTCAGAACGCGCGATAATGAATCACAGTATTAATTAATGATCGTATTAATTCATAATAAAACC